GGATATATGATAACATCTGATGCCAAACGTTCCACAGAAAAAAGACGGAGAATTACAATGGCTAAGGCTAGTTTCAATAAAATGAGCCCAATCCTGAAAAATAGAAACATCTCGATGAACACCAAAATGAAAGTTCTGAAATTTTATGTTTTGTCATCCCTTCTATATGGCTGTGAATGCTGGACAATCACTAAAGACAGTGAAAATAAAATAGAAGCAACAGACATGTGGTTTCTTAGGAGACTGCTAAGAGTATCGTGGAAGGAAAAGACATCAAATAAGGCAGTGCTTGATGAATCCCACGTGGGTCGCTCAATGTTAAAAACAATAAGGAAACGACAATAAATGCAGTTTTTGGAACACCTGAATAGACATAAGGGTCTTGAACACCTAGCTCTCACAGGAAAAATTGAGGGCAAGCGAGGCAGGGGTAGGCCCAGAACAACATACTTGGGAAACCTAAACAAATGGGTAACACGGAAAGATCAGGGAAATGTAGCTTTTTTTAGAACATCCGAGCAAAGGAATGAATGGAGAACCATGATCGCCGATGTCTGTCGCAGATCTGGCACTGGATGATGATGATGGTAGGATGAGAGCAACAAAGCATCCGTGCCACTCTACGAGCCAACCGTACAGCTTGGAGTATTCAAAGTGCCCAACAGCGCTCCTCGGGGCTTGACTTTGGCTTCTTGTAGAGCAATTTAAGTTAACAAAAAACAGCCGGAAAGTGTGTAACTTGTTTTTTCGGTTCTAAAATCGCTAATGCGTTGATCTAAATATACTTTAGACTATTTCATAATTTTGGCGGAACTTGAGTCACAAAACATGTTAATTTGGATGTGAGTCAGGTGACCACTTTGTTCATTTTTGTTCAAGAAAAAGATCGGTACAGAGTCATCGTTGAGTACGTGGTGAGTGATGAGCAAAATTTCGCTCATTAACTTAAGTGAACAAGGGCGCAGTTACAAACAAACAAACAAACAAACGAACAAAAATACAAAGTGGATCATTTCTATTGCCGCTGGGTATGTTAAATAGAGATAAACAAAACAAACAAAAAACGGTTTGGATATCTGTCAAGACTTGCACTAGACAGTAAAGCAGCGAGGACGCACAACCAGGGATCAGATTGATACAGAGGAAGAGGCAGGCCCATGAAAAGATTATAGAGGCGATCAGAGAAACATTAGACAAAAACAATATAACTGTGCAACCACATTTGCTTTTTTCTTTGACGCTGCTAGGTAACTGAGTCAGAAAAAAAATAAAACGAATCAAAGAAAACGACAGTAGCCTTGACCCTGTCCATAGCGACTACCTCTCTATAGCCGTCGCTGTTTCTTGTGATCTTGGCTGACGGTTACGAACAGGTTCATAGTACTGTTAGGAGAATAATTGCAGGTTCCGCAGTTATGTCCAGTGAACAAAAAGCAAACAGCTACTTTTTTATGTTTTTTATTCTCACAGTTTTCATCCATTAGCACTCATATTGATCAGGCGAACACATCAACAGACATAATAATATAATGATGTTAAAAAGCCAGATTTATAATAGAACGCCAAAGAGTCCAATGAACCAATAACAATAAGACATCGATTACAATAAGTTTTATAATCATTGGATCAATTTTCAAACGTGTCTTGCGTTTATAATTTCCGTCCATCAAGCTCTCATATTTAATTAAAGCACAACAATTGCAACATTTGATGATTTGACAGGCCAGGATGTTGATACATTAATAATAACCTCCGTGTCTCTCCTCCGTCTCTGACTAAGGAACATAACAGCAAAAATGAAATTTTGAGCAGAACAATTAATGCTCAAGTTGAGGGTTTTTTTCCCCAGCGAGACTCTTGTTTTAACATGCCTAGGTGAAAACAGCAAAACTCGTGGAATATTAAAATAACCTCACTACAGACATTCCTGCACATGGTGAGGATGATGACGATACTTTTACCAATTTTTATATGTGTACTAGTTCTGTGAAAGAGAACAACAGATTTTCCACCATCCCAACCTCACCCTGGCCGCTCCCTCCTCTGTCTGTCTGTCTGTCTATCCGTCTATCTGTCTGTCTGTCTGTCTGTCTGTCTGTCTGTCTGTCTGTCTGTCTGTCTGTCTATCTGCCCCCCTCACTTTCCCTCTCTCTCTCTCTCTCTCTCTCTCTCTCTCTCTCTCTCTCTGACACACACACACACACACACACACACACACACACACACACACACACACACACACACACACACACACACACACATCCATGCATAAACACTTTCATACACACACATACCTATGATACATAAATACATGAATGCATACCGACTACTACTTATATAAAAAGAGGTGAAAATTATTTTGACAATCACTTTTTTACGTCTAAGCTTACCAGGTAAAATAAAACCTTTTCAAAGCCACTGATGTGTGTAAAATCAAGAAAAAGAGAAGAATCCCCCCCCCCCCCAACATCCCAAACCAAGGGGGCTTTCGTGGCCTAGAGGTTAAAGTGTCTGCCTCTCATTCAATGGATCCCGGGTTCGAATCGGAATAGCGACGTGAATTTTCCTTCTTTAAAATTGTCTCATTTCACCTTCTTTCCTGTTCTCTATCAATGTTCTGTCGTCTGCTTTCACCTCCGCTTTTACCCCTCCCCCTCACCTCCTTTGTACCCTCCTCTGAGCTCCTGACTCTTTCTGCTGCCTTTCTCTGCTACTCCCGGACTCCTTCTTACTGCTGTCTTTCAGCCATATCCCTGATCTTGTGGTAGGGAAGATCTACACCTAGCCTTCTTGGACAAGGGCGAAAAATCTCGGAGGTCCCGTCCCGTTTGCAATTTTCGCACGTTAAAGATCCCTTGGTGGTCCAAAGTCGATAAGAGTAGATCTAGGCTTCGGCAAAGGCTAGCGAGGTAAACCGTACAAAAATCCAGCAGAAGGCAAGGGGAAACCACTGCTGTATTCTTTCCCTAGAACATTATGGATCATAACAAGAACAAACAAAAACAATATTATGGAAAAATATGTGAATCTTCATAAAGAAATCAGACACAAATGTAATCTAGCAAAAGAGACCTGGTTAAAAGAAGAATGTGAGGAAATAGAAAATCATTCCAATGCGAACTGAAAAGATCTACACAGAAAAATTAAAGAGGTGTGCCATACAAGAACACGCGGATCAACAGGATGCCTCAAATCAAAGGATGGGAATGTCATAATGGACAAAGATAAGATACTAGAACGTTGGACAGAATATATCGGTGACTTGTACAATGACAAAAAGAGATGAACAAAGAAGAGTGGAAAATAACAACGAGGGACCACCAATCATGAAAGAAGTTATCAAGGCACTACGAAAGATGAAGAATGGGAAAGCTGCAGGACCGGACAACATTACCACAGA